ATGCTAATGGTCTAATCAGATTCAATGATCTATGCTAAGCTACAGCTAAAAGTGCTACCGCCAGACCCGGAGATCGGCTGAATGGATTCGAAAACGGTAAAACTCAACTGTTTAACTCTAGGGGAGTTGGAAAATGAGCCTATTTTCAAAAATAGTGGAGTGTTCCTTTAAGGTGAAATAAGTAAAGTAAATGTATTAGGAATTTGAATACTGCTCTGATTAGCATGTACTGTAATGATGATGCAATAGAAAGTCATGGCAAGAATCAGTATGTGTGTGCTTTTGTTCTGTGTTTGGTTTGGCTGCTGGCCATTACATCCTTGTGGCAACTCCAGACTCATTCTAACTTTTTATTGCATTGCCATCATTGCATATAAGAGACTCAATTGGTGACCTGTCTGACTAAGAGGGTTTTTCCACTTTATTTTAAGAATCTTAATTATGCTGCATAATGTTTTCCGTGTTGCTGCAGTAAAATACCTACTATAATGTATTGGAAAAGGAAGTATTTGTTCCATAAATGTTCTCTTTTCTAAGCCATGAACCAAACCAACCAGCCCAGATATGAATCACAACATTACAGACTTAGTCATTTGAAAAATACAAAGAAATCTAAAAAAGTGGCATTTGAAGAAAAGCTATTTGAAGAAAATTTTTAATCATAATTTATGCCGTGGTCACACTAGACAAGACATTTCTATAGACACTGCAAAGGTCATAATAGGATGTCAAACACTACAGAGCAATTTTTAAAATCAAAATGCTAAAATATTGCAATGCTGCAATCCTGCAGATTTAAAATGTGCGTACTTTTAATTCAGCTAGTTGGTCACGCCGTGACATATCTTCTATTATTCACACTTCTTCGTTTCCTGTCTGCGAATGACGTAATCAAATCAGAAATGTCAGTAGAATATAAATGGACAACTATAAAGTCTGCCAGATGTTGGGTCTCAGTGTGACATCTGTTTCTTGCAGGTTCCAGAGGGCAAAGTGGTCGTCCTCTCATTTCGTTTTCTCGACTTAGAGAGTGACAACCTGTGCCGCTACGATTATGTGGATGTTTATAGTGGCCATGCCAATGGACAGCGTCTTGGCCGCTTCTGTGGGACATTCAGGCCAGGAGCCCTTGTTTCTACAAGCAACAAGATGCTTGTACAAATGGTATCTGATGCCAATACAGCTGGCAGCGGCTTCCTGGCTGTGTACTCTGCTGCCAACCCAAATGAGCGAGGTAAGAACATCATAAAAATGGACCATAAAATTGGCAGATAATAAGATCGACTTGCTCTGTTCAACTCTGCAGAGCCAAAGGAGTTTAGTAGATGTTTTAAGGTGTTTAAGATGTTTAAAGATTAGCAGTTTCTTCACTTTTTTTTCTGAAAAGTCAATGGATTAAACCATCATACCACCTTTCCCTTACTTGCATCCAAAATAATCCACGTTTCCATCCATAAATTCAGTTATTATTACGTGTTTAAGAGGGCAAAGGTCGACTTTAATCAGCATTTAAGAGCTATCTGACAGCTCATAAAGAAGACAGAGGTCAAGAAAATGCAGGGGGAAGAGAAATTAATCTTTGAGACAAACAGTTTCCGTTTAGTAAATCACTGAAAGATTCATACAAAAGGAAGAAGAGCCTGGTTTTAATTTCTAGTTAAACACAAAGGGATTTTCTCTGCAGGGTCTGACAGTTGATTTAGACTACTCTGTTGGAGCTGGGAGCTGGAGATCATTGCAGTGTATTTTGTGGCATGATGTGGAATTTCTCACAGACGGTTTTCCAGTGATTCAGTGATTGGTCAGACCCCCAGAGGCCGTCTTGCTCACCCAGTAACTGTATAAGCGATGAGACGTCTGCTTGGCCAGAGAAGGACAGCTGGAATTTGAATGATTTAGATTGTGTCTCTATTTTTTTGTCCATCGGTAGTTGACAGACAGCTGTTGTGTGCTGGTAACAATGGAAGCTTGCAGTCATCACATCATGATCACAGATGTTATCAGGTTTTGTGGAAAAGCTATGTCTGTGGTTAGTTTGGTTACCATTATGTGTGAATCTAACGAAAGAAAAAAAGGTTACATTTTCGCATTTCACCTTAAATTAATAATAATTATAATAATAATAAAAATAAATTGTAATTTTATGTAATTAAATTATATAATTTAATTAAATTAAATTATATCATTATTTCATATATATTATATAATTAAATTAATAATTAAATAAATTGTAATTTTCATTGAGAACCACTACTTTCAGGACCACTAATATTTTCAACATTATTTTCACATTAATTTCATGACAATTAAAGGACAGTTCACCGATTTTTAACCAGCTTTGTACTTGGTAGTATGTGTAAATGGACAATGTGTATTCTTTCTCTGTGTTACCTGCATCCAGATATCCTTGTTTATTTGTCAACAAAAATTCATAATTTTACCTCTGCCGATTTTGGCAGCTTTTGACAGCTTCAGTGCTTTTGTTAAATTTACTGATTCAACAAAATTAAATTTACGAACTTCCGCAATTTTTCCTAATTTAATTCATTATATTCATTCATTCTCATTTGACTTTCATACAATTAATTACCGTAATTTGGTGATTTGTACTGTATTAAAATTTCATTAAAATTTGTAATTAAAATTAATGTGTGTATCAAGATGCTTGTACAAATGGTATCTGATGCCAATACAGCTGGCAGCGGCTTCCTGGCTGTGTACTCTGCTGCCAACCCAAATGAGCGAGGTAAGAACATCATAAAAATGGACCATAAAATTGGCAGATAATAAGATCGACTTGCTCTGTTCAACTCTGCAGAGCCAAAGGAGTTTAGTAGATGTTTTAAGGTGTTTAAGATGTTTAAAGATTAGCAGTTTCTTCACTTTTTTTTCTGAAAAGTCAATGGATTAAACCATCATACCACCTTTCCCTTACTTGCATCCAAAATAATCCACGTTTCCATCCATAAATTCAGTTATTATTACGTGTTTAAGAGGGCAAAGGTCGACTTTAATCAGCATTTAAGAGCTATCTGACAGCTCATAAAGAAGACAGAGGTCAAGAAAATGCAGGGGGAAGAGAAATTAATCTTTGAGACAAACAGTTTCCGTTTAGTAAATCACTGAAAGATTCATACAAAAGGAAGAAGAGCCTGGTTTTAATTTCTAGTTAAACACAAAGGGATTTTCTCTGCAGGGTCTGACAGTTGATTTAGACTACTCTGTTGGAGCTGGGAGCTGGAGATCATTGCAGTGTATTTTGTGGCATGATGTGGAATTTCTCACAGACGGTTTTCCAGTGATTCAGTGATTGGTCAGACCCCCAGAGGCCGTCTTGCTCACCCAGTAACTGTATAAGCGATGAGACGTCTGCTTGGCCAGAGAAGGACAGCTGGAATTTGAATGATTTAGATTGTGTCTCTATTTTTTTGTCCATCGGTAGTTGACAGACAGCTGTTGTGTGCTGGTAACAATGGAAGCTTGCAGTCATCACATCATGATCACAGATGTTATCAGGTTTTGTGGAAAAGCTATGTCTGTGGTTAGTTTGGTTACCATTATGTGTGAATCTAACGAAAGAAAAAAAGGTTACATTTTCGCATTTCACCTTAAATTAATAATAATTATAATAATAATAAAAATAAATTGTAATTTTATGTAATTAAATTATATAATTTAATTAAATTAAATTATATCATTATTTCATATATATTATATAATTAAATTAATAATTAAATAAATTGTAATTTTCATTGAGAACCACTACTTTCAGGACCACTAATATTTTCAACATTATTTTCACATTAATTTCATGACAATTAAAGGACAGTTCACCGATTTTTAACCAGCTTTGTACTTGGTAGTATGTGTAAATGGACAATGTGTATTCTTTCTCTGTGTTACCTGCATCCAGATATACTTGTTTATTTGTCAACAAAAATTCATAATTTTACCTCTGCCGATTTTGGCAGCTTTTGACAGCTTCAGTGCTTTTGTTAAATTTACTGATTCAACAAAATTAAATTTACGAACTTCCGCAATTTTTCCTAATTTAATTCATTATATTCATTCATTCTCATTTGACTTTCATACAATTAATTACCGTAATTTGGTGATTTGTACTGTATTAAAATTTCATTAAAATTTGTAATTAAAATTAATGTGTGTATATATATATATATATATATATATATATGTCAATCGATTAAAAAAATTAACTAATTAATTGCACATTTTTTCTACAATTAATTGCGATTAATCGTGATTAATTCCACCTAACATTAAAGTTTTTAAATATACATTTATATTGCAATAATTTCACATTCAATCTTCAAATTAATGTAGAAACTACATAAAGACAGTTTATCTTTAATATTTTTTTAGAGGCATTTTTTATGACTGAAGGTGAGTATCACCGATACCAATACTACTGATGTCTCTAATTTTTTCCCCTAATATTCAACCATTGACTTCTATAGCCGTTCAACATTAGAGTATAATTGAGAGCTATCAATATAAACATTTATTTGACTTTAAAAAATAACTACTTCTAATTTAAGTGAACTTAAAACAATCTTCGCATAAACCAATTATAATAAATGTCATATTTACTGTGCCCTTCAGCAAGTAGGAAATATGCAGAAATTGGATAAAGTTATCAAACACAAAATTCTAAATTAAATAGAACACAAAAAGTTATTGATTTCCTCTTTTTTTTCTTTTGTTCTTTGATTAACAGACATCACAGCATCTAGGTTATTTGGCTGCTATTACTTTAAGAGCTGCCTCTGCTGAACGTGACGTGGATCTGACATGCACGCTCATAGTTTCATTCGCTCTTTAATATGAAAAGATACAGACTACAGAGCGTGCCGCCGTATTTGTGCGTGCAGTTGAAGAAGATTCTTTTTACTGATATATGGCCTGACAACATCTCATCTGACCGCAGTTCACTGATGTTCTACTGAAGCTCCCTCATCACCTGTATCGTTTCCGCGCTCGTTTGACTAGCGCATGTCGCTGAGGTGAAGTTGGAATGTGGGTCTCCAACTTCTATATGCTTTCCAAAGCACTCCTCCATCTGTCATTGGTTGGACAAATAGATGGTCCGGCCCCAAACACACACCATCGACCGACCCAGTGTTGCTGTTTCAGTCTAGTTTGAATTCTCAGATGAACTTAAGACATAAACCCACAAATTGCTTACTTTATAGTTTAATTAGCACAATAAACTTGAATAGAGCAAAATATTTTTTTACATTTTTTGCGTGAAATATGACTGGACACATTCTTGACAAGTTTAGTGACATTCAGTCTTTTCAGTATAGCGTAGCGATCCAAACGGCCTGTTTCAAATCGCACACAGAGAGTTTTGTAGTGCACTTTCATCATGTTTTCTGATGCAAAATCAAGGCACAAAGCTTTTGGCAGGATTCAGTTCTAGAAGCAGCAGGTCTGGATAAAAGGTCTCAGATGTGAAGAAGGATTAAAGGGTTAGTTCACCCAAAAATGAAAATTAGGCTGCATTTTACTCACCCCCGAGGCATCCTAGGTGTATATGACTTTCTTCTTTCAGACGAATCCAGATCGGAGTTATATTAAAAATTGTCTTTGATCTTTCAAGCTCTATCATTTCAGTCAGTGGGTGTTGCATTTCTTCAGTCCAAAAGACCTGAAATAAAAAGTGCCCTTCCATAAAAAAAAGTGTCTCACACGGCTCCGGGGGGTGAACAAAGGCCATTTTTAATATAACTCCGACTGGATTCGTCTGAAAGAAGAAAGTCATATACACCTAGGATGCCTTGGGGGTGAGTAAAACAGCCTAATATTCATTTTTGGGTGAACTAACCCTTTAAGTCTGGAACTGCATGATATTCCTTCCTGCTGCATGTTTAAAACAAGTCTGCAAACTCTCATAATGACAAGACTGTTGGGAAGGACATTTTAAAGCCGGCTGAATATGATGCTGTGCAATTATCTCATGCATTCCTTTTAATTAGGGGTGAGCGACCTCACACTGGATGCTCAGTCTGTGTTTAGAGTTTAAAAGAGGAAACATTTCATAACCTTCTGTCTGGATGGATGTTTACAGGGGATCAGTACTGTGGTGGGAGATTAATGAAGCCGTCAGGAACCTTCAAGACCCCCAACTGGCCAGAGAAAGACTATCCTGCTGGAGTCACATGTTCTTGGCATATAGTAGCACCAAAGAACCAGGTGGACTCATTCATACATTTGCATATTACAGTTTCAATTAAATCTTTAATGTATTGTTTATCTTTAACTTGAATACAGACAGGAATAATACTTCAGAATTTGTTTGTTTACAGATTATAGAGGTGAAATTTGAGAAATTTGATGTGGAGAGGGACAACTACTGTCGTTATGATTATGTAGCCATTTTTAATGGTGGAGAAATCAACGATGCGAAAAGAATTGGGAAATACTGTGGTGACAGCCCACCAGCGTATGTATCATATAAGTCGTATTAAATCAGTCCTTTGCTCTATTTTCAAAATATCAACATGTAGCTGTTAGAAGTACTTCTTTATGTGCGTTTTACATTGTATCTCTCTCCTTTAGACCCGTGTTCTCAGAGGGGAATCAGCTCTTCATTCAGTTCCTCTCAGATCTCAGTTTAACAGCGGATGGCTTTATTGGTCATTACAAATTTAGACCCAAGAAGTTTCCCTCCACAACCGTTCCACCAACCACGACAGCACCACCCACTACCACCAGACCTATATGTAAGTACATCCACAAAACCTGCTGCTGAGGGCAATTCTCCCTAATCATACTGTATGTAGTTGGTGACCTTAAAGGGATAGTTCACCCAAAAATGAAAATTTGATGTTTATCTGCTTACCCCCAGGGCATCCAAGATGTAGGTGACTTTGTTTCTTCAGTAGAACACAAACGGAGATTTTTAACTCCAGCCGTTGCAGTCTATCAGTCGTATAATGCATGGCAATGGTAACAAAATCTATGAGAGTAAAAAAAACATGCACAGACAAATCCAAATTAAACCCTGCGGCTCGTGACGACACATTGATGTTCTAAGACATGAAACGATTGGTTTGTGCGAGAAACCGAACAGTATTTATATAATTTTTGACATCTAATACACCCCTACATCTTGGATGCCCTGGGGGTAAGCAGATAAACATCAAATTTTCATTTTTGGGTGAACTATCCCTTTAATGTTAGTCTACATTACAGGGGTTGGCTTAGGGTTAAAAGTCAATGACTACTCATTAAACATCCCTATTGAAACGCCAAATTCAGCATCCCCAACTTGAATGCTACCATGTTTGATGTTCTGTGAAATTTTATTTATTTATTTTCTTTCTCTCTTTTTTTTCCATATTCTGTTTTTTTGTAGCTTTAATTTTTCTGGATTCCCTTTTTTTTAATGGTTAAATCAAATTTTAGTAATTGAAAATTGTGTCTAATTAATTAAAATAATGAAACTTACAATATGATTTAACACCAATTTATTAAAAGTTGAACAAACATTACATTTTTATAAATTAGATGTTTTGTTTCTAACACATAAAATATAAATCATTTCTAAAATATATTTATTTTTAAAATGTAATGTTTTTTTCCCCAAATTCTAAATCACTTTCTGTTTTATTTTTTGTCATTTTTCAATTTTAATGGTTTATTTAAAGTTTAATAATGAAAATGCATGTCTAATCAATTGAATTATTAAAACTTTAACAAATATTTTTTAATATATTTTTTTATTATTTATTTATTTATTTCCGATAATTAGGCCCTGTGAAACGTTTTATCATCAAATCACCAATCATCATGTGACACAGAATACTGGAGTAATGATGCTGAAAATAAGAATAAATTACGATTTGAAGTACTGTATATTGAAATAGAAAAGTAATAATAGTTCACAATATTGCAGTTTTACTCTATTTTTGATAATACAAATGCAGCCTTGGTAAGCAAAAAGACTTACTTCAGAAACATTTAGAAATCTTACCAACCCCAAACTTTTGTAAACTAAATATATATTTCTAGAAATTACCAACTGGACAAAATCTAAAATGATTTTTAAAAGGTGTTAAATGGAGCTGGAAGTACAACACTGCTACAGTATAACTGGATTTAATTAGCCAGATTATTTAATGAGCCAAAATATTTATCAAATTATTAGTTTGCTGTCCATGCGTGGTAACCTAAGCAGACAAGCCTTTGACATATATACTGGTATTATTATGTGAGATTTAATTGGTTCATATTGTTTGGTCCATTGAATTATTTATGTATTTTAATAAATACATATGTAAATGACAGAGAGGAATTTCAGGCAATTGTACATCCATTTCTTCTTTGATGTCAGCTTTATCCAATTTCTGAAGCTTTTTGCACGCACATACTAAAAGATAAGCTCTGCTGGCTCAGAGTCAGTAAGCTACAGTAAAACAACTTTTTGAAGTCTTTTTTGCTATCTCTGCTCTCCTCTCCAGCTTTGAAGTACTCTGCAGCGCTGTGTCAACAGAAATGCAAACGGAAGGGAATC